ATTATCTTGCCTCAGCCTCCTACGTAGCTGGGACTACAGGTGCCTGCCTGGCTATTTTTAGGGACAGGGGTTAGGGTCTTGATTTTGCTCAGGCTGGTATGGAACCTGTGCGCTCAGGCAATCTACCCGCCTTGGCCTCTCAGAGTGCTAGGATTAAAGGTGTGAGCCACTCTGCCTGGCCTGGAAGCAATTCTTTTTTTTGAGACAGAGTCTCACTATATCACCCTCAGTACAGTGCTATGCCATCATAGCTCACAGTAACCTCAAACTCTTGGGTTTAAGAGATTCTCTTGCCTCAGCCTCCCAAGTAGCTGGGACCTCAGGCACTAGCCACAATACCCAGCTAGTTCTTGTTGCAGTTGTCATTGTTGTTTAGCTGGCCCGGGTGGAGTTCAAACCTGCCAGCCTTGGTATATGTGGCTGGCGCTATAGCCACTGTGCTATGGGTGACAAGCCATGGAAACAATTCTTAGTAACAGCTCTGGTTAATTCTCAAATTTCCATTGGAATCCACTTAAATGTCTCCACTGCACTTAATATTGCTTCCTCCCAGTCAGTGTTCTTCCTAGGCAGCCAGGATTCATAGTTAAGCCATTCATTAAATTATTCTCCCATTCCTCAACTTGACTTTGCCTGCATTACAATGAAATTAAGTTTCTCTCTCCCAGTTAAGAATTTGCTCTCCCTGCCTTCAATATTTACTTTGAAAACTTTCAGATATATAGAAAAGTTGCAAAAATAGTACAATGGACCCCATTTATCCTTCATTTAGATTCAACAAGGTTCAAATGCGCCAAATGTATGTCTTTCTAGTGGGTAGCTGTATTTTCTGACCCACTGAGAAAACCAAATAGATGGGAAATCCTTCACCAAATATTTAAGCATGTTCCTCCTAAGAAATATTGTCCTTTTGACTATACAATAATCAAATTAAAGAAAATTATCACGATGTTATCTATATAACAAAACAAAAATTTGCATATGAAATTGCCATATGCGAATTTCACCAATTATTCCACTCAAAATGTCTTCAACAACAACCTTTTTCCTGGCTCGGCGCCTATAGCTCAACCGGCTAAGGCGCCAGCCACGTACACCTAAGGTGGCGGGTTCGAATCCCCAGACCAGACCCGCCAAACAACAATGACAGCAGCAACCAAAAAATAGCCAGGCGTTGTGGCGGGCACCTGTGGTCCTAGCTACTTGGGAGGTGGAGGCAGGAGACTCGCTTGAGCCCAGGAGTTGGAGGTTGCTGTGAGCTATAATGCCATGGCACTCTACCCAGGGGGACAGCTTGAGGCTCTGTCTCAAAAAAAAACCTTTTTCCTAATCCAGGATCATACATTGCATTTAGTTGTCATTTTATTTGTAGTTATCATTCTCTTTCTCTTTTTTTTTTTTTGGAGACAAGAGTCTCACTTTGTTATTCTTGGTAGAGTGCTGTGGCATCATGGCCCACAGCAACCTCCAACTCTTGGACTCAAGTGATTCTCTCGTCTCAGCCTCCTGAGCAGCTGGGGACTAAAGGCACCCGCCACAACACCCGGCTATTTTTGGAGATGAGGTCTCACTCTGGCTCAAGCTGATCTCCAACCTGTGAGCTCAGGCAATCCACCCATCTCAGTCTCCCTAGTGCTAGGATTATAGGAGTTAGCTACCTCGCCCAGCCCTTATCATTCTTTTAATCTCTATTCATCTAGAATATTTCACCAGACTATGTGAATCTTCTTATCTCCAACAAATTTTCAAGCAGGGCTTTTGGCATCCATTTATGATTCTTGCCTGCATCAATTATTAAAATGACAGTTGCAAACGGGAAGGAAATTTAGACATTCTAAGGTTGATTCTTTCCTCCTGTGGGATTCTTTTTTGAGAAGTTCAGATATAAAATCCACCTCTAACAGATAAATTCACTTTCAAACAATTCATTTGTAAACCTATCTCATATACATATGTTTTCTTACAGTCTGTAAGTACATACAAAGTGAATAAGTAGGTACAAACTTAACAAATATTTTTATAAACTACCAGGTAAACTGAACAATGCATTTCTTTTTTTTGAGACAGTCTCGAGCTGTCGCCCCAGGTAGAGTGCGTGGCATCACAGCTCACAGCAACCTCAAACTCTTGGGCTTAAGCAGTTCTCTTGCCTCAGCCTACAGGCGCCCACCACAATGCCCAGCTAGTTTTTGGTTGTAGTTGTCATTGTCATTGTTTGGTAGGCCAGAGCTGGATTCAAACTTGTCAGCTCTGGTATATGTGGTTGGTGCCCTAGCTGCTAAACTATAGGCATCAAGCCTTTAAAATACTCCCCCTCCCCCTTTTTGCAGTTTTCAGCAGGGGCTGGGTTTGAATCCACCACCTCCAGCACATGGGGCCGGCGCCCCACTCCTTTGAGCCACAGGTGCCGCCCAACGAACTTTTTATAAAAAAGTGTGCTACTTGGCTTGGCGCCTGTGGCTCAATCGGCTAAGGCGCCAGCCACATACACCTAAGGTGGCGGGTTCAAATCCCCAGCCCGGGCC